TTTTTTGAGGAATAATTAACCCACAACGCTCGCGTAGATCTCATTAAAAACTACAGGCAAGACTTGGCAAGCAGGTATCTGTTTGGTAAGGTAATGTGAAAAAACAGTCGTGTGCTTTCTTTCTGCTTTGCTTTCTTTTCTCCTTTTTTCTCCTTTCTCTCTCTCTCTCTCTCTCTCTCTTTTCTTACTTTTACGCAAACGGTTGTGAGAAGTTTGTTTAAAATATCCTTTTATGAATAGGTTAAGCGTCAATCTTGTTGTATTTACTCAGATTCAGATCTCTCGATAACTGTTGTGCCCTTTAACTGCCTAATTAGTTTTATAATCGATCATCGTATACAGTTGATCCGTTGTCTAAGAAACATTGGATACGGATGTTTTTTGTGGAGCACAATGATCATTTTCCACAGATTATTCGACCGTCTATTTGATGGAAAGTGCTTTCGAACTGGAAAAGGAACAAAAAGTAAGGTTCAAAAATGTGTGAATAATAGGGAGAGAAAAGGGAGAAGTTTGAAGAGGCGCAGAGAACAGACACGATGGCGCCTTCGGGGCGAAGGATCTGCGTAATTCGGCATTTATCACCGCAACCATTACGTAGCTATGTCAATGTGCGTCACGAAGAAAGATTTTGCTCTATTTTGCGGTGTCGCCTACCCCCTCTGTACTGAAAACTTTTCACTTATTTGAATTCCAGCCAAATGTGTCTTATCTCTCAGACAGTTGGCAATTATTTAGAAAGGACACTAACGATTTAAATAGCTTTAACACATCTGTGGCAATCGTCGACAGATGAAATCAGAAGGAGAGATCTACCGTTCGTGGCGATGCTTTCAAGAGAGTTGACCTCGTCGAAGCGAATTTTACTAAGGTTTCGCGTTCGAGAGACGGTATAGAATTATAGCTTTTTAGTAGAAGATTCGTTCTAGAACGGGCGTAAAGCCCCGTTGCCGAGAAATAATCTCGTTGACGTTTTACTGTGATCGCAGTTAATAATTGCGTAAGGTTTATAATCATCGCCTTCATCTCAGTTTATCTTTCCCTTATTCTCTCCGATCTCTCCAATTAAATATACAAATCCTAAAAACTTTTCAAGCTCCTTAAATTATTATTAATGGTCCTCTCTGTAGGTGGGACGCGTCCCGCTGGCTTTGAGTCTATTGGCAAAGAAAATGTATAATAAACGGATAAAAGTAATGAGAGGTATGCACGCCTGGGCAGTACTTAGGTCCAAAAAAGATTAATATTACTTTACGGGACCGATCGGCCCAACGGTCAAAATTTACTTAGCTTCCTAATCACGTGATCGGGAAAGACACAAAGGCAACCGGCCTTATATAAAGTCGACACGGCATACGAGGAGCCATAAGTTTCCACAAGGAGCCAGGGTCGATATCTTCACGTGAGTATCATCAAACTTGTCTTCTAAATATTTCTTCGGCATTCGATCAATCGTTGACATTGGCAAAACCGTTTCAAGGACTCACAAAGAATACTTAATTTAATTTAAATTTAATTAAAAACTTTCCACTGAATCTTACCCTTGCTTGATGATTCTCACACTAAATTTGAACTCTCTCAACAAGTCTCGAAGCTCGTAATTCCTCTTTCCGCTTTTCTCAAGTACTGTTAACAGTTTTCGGTGACTCTTTCGACATATTGCTTCATCCTTTTGCTCAATGTTGCCGATGCTCATGTAAATTCAAATCTTTACAATTAAAGAAGTAATGTGCGAGCAGAGATTTCTTTTACCTACCCATATATATATATATATATAT